GGTAGCAAGGACTCTCCTAGGAGGGTTTTGTTGAGAAATCTTAACCCTACCCACCCTACAGCTCTAATCTTTCCCCTTTAGGCTCTTTTTGTCTCTAAAGCCCAAAGCACACTGGAACACTGAGTCCCTTGAGGGCACCAAAACTGTTGCGTTGACATGGTGTACATCCAAAAGTGCAGACTTGTTCGAGGAAAAGTTACGAAGATGGATACACCACTTTCAGAAGTGTATAGATCAAGCTGAGGATATGTCAAACAGTGGCTTCACAAGTTGATATTTTTGTTTAATAAAGGTTCCTATGATTTGATAGCAATGCTTTTTTATTGACCCTCCCTCATATTCTTTTGTATTAAATAAAGGCACTTCTATCTGTCTATCATAATTGAAGTTCTCAGGCTGTGGAGCAGGTCTGGCCTGCTCCAGCAGCACCTGGCCTTCACAGCTGCGCAGAGGCTCTATGGTGTTAGTTGTCCTGAGCTGTTGACATGCTTTTCTCTTTCCCCACTGCATTTTGCACCTCAAGTGGACTCACAAAGTCATCCCTCTTTGCTAATATGTTGTTTCCCCAGATCCCAGCAATATAGTAGGACACACATTAGTTCCAGCCCCAAGCTAGGAGGTTCACAGCAGTCACATTGACCTGAGAAACTGCTGTTAATATTCCATCTCCAGAGTAACTTTGCATCAATCCAAAGCATTGCCATATGTGATCCCTTGTATTTCCTACTTCCCAGAAATCATGGAAATAGTTCAAGAGTATAGAAAACATTTTACTCATTAAACCTTTCAAGAGGTGATCTGACTCACATACCAGCAGCACGAGTTAATGATGCATCATGATCTGGGCAATCCAATTAGTGCAATAGTTATCTGATCAAGGGGAGTGTCAGGTTAGATTCTAGCAATGGGCCACGTCAGCCCTCTGGGTGAATTTGCCAAGAAAGGGTCCACCTGAATTCAGCCCCCTCCCTCATGCCGTGTCCATTGACTTTTATCTCTGCTGCATGCCTCTTCGGTTCCCAGGTCAGCAATGCTAGCTAATGCCCTGTGTGCAAAATGGAAGATAGAAAGAAAATTGCCTAAATATCTAAGAGATGCTAATTTACAGTGTACAATGATGTATTGTACATAACAGATCATGTGCAAATGTAACACACCTAAATGACAATGGTTATACCTCACTACCCTCAGCTAGTTCACACAAGCCCAGGTTGTGGTTGGTTCCTTTACAAGCGTTTGTGGAGGGCTCTACTATAAGGACCATAGTGTGTGCTGCCAAGGCCCTGCTTTCCTTGGAACACTACATGTAAATACCACATTTCCCTCTTCCTGGACTTTCATTCCTGAGCACCCAGGGTCGACTCTACAACAATAGTCTCTCAGTGTTGGGGCAGGGTCCCTGGCTAGCACGGGCTCTGGTGTTACTCCAAATTCTTAACTAGTTGGCAGCGGCTTCTGCTGCTCTCATGTAATCTGGCCCCCTTGAAAGGCAGGATGGACCCAGGCCATTGTTTCTGGGAGGCTTTGCTACTCCTAGGGTGTGAGACCCAGAGCAAATCACTATACATGCTCTGGGTTCCCACTGTAGCATAAACATCCAGCTGAGATTGTTAAATAAAAGGACAAAACCCAAGAGAATCTGAAAGGACAAAAATATTATCAAAAGGTGATGAAGTATTAGAGACAGAGGAAAAGTCTTCTGGACTTGGTTTGTTTGAGGGATTCCTTTGCACAATGCATCTCTCTGACTCCCCTTTCCATAGTCTTGCGTCCCTTGGACCACAGCTGGGAAAGTCAAATGTGGGGTTTGGCTTTAAGTTGACCTTGAGATTGGGCCCACCTGTGTAACCCCAACCAATCTCTGCTTCAGGGTTCTTATTGTAAGCGCATCTGCAAGGTCTCTGGTCATTTAAAGTCCCAGTGAGTAGAATGAGGAAGCTTCGGGTGTACCACATAACACTTTAGTATTTTTAATCCTTACTCTGTGGGTGGGAGTTCACTTGGTTAGGGGTCCTGGTGGCGTATTGGCTACATGTTGGTTTGCCAACCACAAGGTTAGCAGTTCAAAACTACCAGCCTCTCCGAGGGAGAAAGACAAAAGACTTTTTACTCCTGTAACAAGTTACACTCTTGTAAACCCATAGGGGCTGGTCTACCCTGTCAGATAGGGTTGCTGTGAGTCGGAATCGACTCAATGGCAGTGAGTTTAAGTTTTGAGTTGGCTTGGTTAATATGAACTTGTGAGTTAGTGTACACACTCCGG